TAAACTTTGAATTTGATTCAGTTCTCATCCAACTTGGTTTTGGGACCAGAATCATGGGATGAATCAAGTTCATGAAGTGAGTTACTTTTATTACTGCATTATCCATATTTTGCACTGTTTATAGCAATGGAGCACAGGAGTTCTGGTGTATAAAAATTCCTTGTTTAGAGTGAACACTTCCTCCAATTTGTGTGATGTTTGTTTGCTCCTGTAAGTCAGTTGCCACCATTGCAAAGGTAGGTTAGAGGATAAAATTTGGGAAGGTAGTTGCTGACATTGTCACTTGCTGTCTCTCATTTGTATAATGTAGCTTACTAGTTATCAGTGGCTTCCCCCTGTTCTATCAAAAATTGATAATAGCCTCAGCACTATGGCTCTTTGCACTGTGCCATGTGATGCTGAGTCTTCTGCTGAAATTGTTAGCAAGGCTATTTAGTAGCAATTGTCTGTTACTATGAGCATTAGTATCCCATGATGTGTGAAGCATGAAAAATGAGGCCTTTTTTTTTTTAAATCATGATTTCCTGTGGGTCCCCTTCTGGGTATCTTCTCAGAAGAATTAAAAACATTATACCACAGAAATATATGTGCACCCATGTTTATAGCAGCACAGTTTGTAATAGTTAAATCTTGGAAACAACCCAAATGCCCATGAACAGAGGAATGAATAAAAAAGATGTGTTTTTTTTAATACAATGGAGTGCTACTTAGGCATAAAGAAGGATAAACTTGAGACTTTTATCAGTAAATGGATGCAACTCAAGACCATACTGATAAGTAAAATAAATCAGGCCCACATGTGTAAACATCGTATTGTCTCATGAACCTAGGTTTGGAAATTTCTTCCATTAAAATTTTCAGTGTGAGAAACTAAGTAAGATCCCAAATGTATAACAGGTATTGTGAAAGGGAAAGAAACTCTTCAAAAGAAAAGAGAAACTGGAATGGAGGAAAGGGGAAAGGAAGGAAGGGAAATGAAAAGAAAAAAATTTTATGCAAGGTAGTAAAGATAGTTACACAGCTGGTTTCTCTTAGTTCATTGAAAAGAAAGGTTTTGAGCTAATATTGTTTGGACAATACTTTCATCATGCCTATATCTTGTACTCTAACTGCTATGAATAGAACAATATGCAGTGTATTAATTATTGTTACTCCTACTAGCCTGTTTTGAAACTCTTTGTTTTTATTCTTTTTCTGTTTAAAATAAAATTTAAAAAAATAAATTATTCCTGTGGAGCCCGTGATCTTGTGGAATGCTGACTGAGAAACCCTTGTGTTAAGAGAGTATGTATGAAAATCTAGATTTAGCATTATACTCATGAAATAGCAGTGCTTTTTTATAAGTCAGGAAAGAAGACAAGGATGGATACCCAACTGTCACAACTTCAGTGTTGTACTGGAAGTGCTACCTAGTGTAGTAACTGGCAGAGAAAGCACATGTTGTAAAGCCATCGTGTACAGGATTAGTCTACAAAAATCAATTTCTATAAATTTGCAGGAAAAAAATCAGAAAATGAAATAAAGTATGAAATGCAGTACATCAAAAGTCATCTAATAACTGGGAAGAAATTTGACGAAGTTTTAATCTTTTTTTGTGATTAGAAATTGAACTGGGTCTTCTCACATTACAAGTAATCCCCTCTACCACTGAAAGCAGTCCCTAGTTGCCAGGCAAGCGCTTTTGCCACTGAGCTAAATCCCCAGCCCCTCCCAGGTTGTTAATTTATACTCTTTATAATTTATTTCCATCTATTAGTTTTAGATTTGGATTGTTTTTATTTTTCTAGGACCTTGACATGCACCATTAGGTTATTCGGGGTTGCTATATTTTTATGTGTGGATTTACAGCCATAGCCTTTCCTCTCACAACTGTCCTCATTGTGTCCCATAGGTTTGGTGTGTTGTACTTCCATTGTCCTTTGAGTCTAGAAAATTTATTCCCTGATTTCTTCTGTGATCTAGTGCTTATTCAGTGATGTATTATTTAATCTCCATGTGTTCTCCATGTGTTTGTGTACTTTCTGTGGCTTTTTTTGCTGTTGGTTTCTAGCTTCATTCTGCTGTGATCTAGTCGTGCATGGGATTATTTCAATTCTTTTGTGTTTATTTAAGCTTGTTTTATAACAGAAGAAGTGGTTTGTTTTGGAAAAAGTTCTGTGTGTTGTTGAGAACAATGTATTCTGTTGTCCTTAGATTAAACACTTTGTAGATGTCCTTTAAGTACCTTTCTTTTCTTTCTTTCTTTTTTTTTTTTTTTTGTGTGTGTGTGTTTTTGAGACAGGGTCTCGCTATTCAATTCAGGCTGGCCTTGAGCTCACTTTGTAGTGAAGGCTTGTCTTGAACTGAAAATGGTCCTCCTGCCTCAGCCTCCTGAGTGCTGGGATTACAGGTGTGTGCCACCATGCCCGGCTGAGTCCCTTTCTTTAATGGTGGTGTGACTTTTTTTTTGTACCAGGACTCAAATTCAGGACCTTGTGCTTGCCAGGCAGGCATTTGTGCCACTGAGCTATATTCCCAGCCCCAATTTAATGGTGTGGCTTAACTCTGTTGTTTCTTTGATTTCTTTTTCCCTCTGATTGACCAGGTTAATTGGGGTATTGTATTGGGGAATGCTTAATTTTTAATCCCATCTCATCAACCAGTCTGAGTAGTGGTTTTCTACTTTATATGTCAGTTTATGAAAAAGTGTCAAAAAGGATTATATTTTTTTGATAAATTGCTTTAAAACAAGATTTTCATTTAGAAGCTTTAAGGTTAGGAAAATATTTCTAAAAATTTAAGGTATGTAGATATGAGAATTTTTCTTATACAGTACTTTATAAACTTAGAAATCATGATCATAGAAATGTTTCTGAAACATTCTTTTTCAAAGAACTCTTCACAGCATAAATTTCTTTTGAAAAGCAGTAACTTTGTTACTTTAACACGTGGTTTAAATGGAAGCTGCACTTTGAAGGAATAGATTGTTGATTATTTTTTTAAAAATAATTATTCTTGAACTAGGACTAGCTTCTGTAGTTGAATGTCTAGCAGATTTGAAACATTTTCCTTTTTGTAAAAAGAACTAGTAATTCAGCTTTAAGCAGTCATTTCTTAAAGCATGATGAAGTGCTATACGGTATCTACATTTTAAAGGTCTTTCTGTTTAACATGAAACCCACCACAGTTCATCTGATTGTAGGTGAGTAGTAGTATTTTGCAGGACACTGAAAGTGAAGGAATGAGTTAGTCCTGGGCTGCTGGTCTGTGTATCATGGGACTTCTAGTCTTCCCTCAGCATTCTTCCATGTGTGTCACTAAGTGTATATCCCCTGCTGTAGCTCCTATATTTTTTTTAGTTCTGTCCTTTCCAATAAAAGGTATATACTTTTTTCTTTTACGCTTTTTATAAAATGCACTTTAAGAGCAGTTTAGGTTCACAGCAAAAAAAAAAAGTATAGAATTATCATCCATTTCCTCTTGCCCTGCTTATTCCTCAACTGTGGCTCTCCACACCAAAACAGTACATTTGCTACCATCAGTGAGCTCCACTGACACATCATCAATTAAAGAACATAGTTTGTGTTAGAGTTCACTATCAACGTTGCACATTTTATGGGTTTCGACAAATGTGTAATGACATGTCTTCACTATTATAGTATCGTAAGAGTAGTTTCCCTGCCCCTTAAGAAATCCTGGTGCTCTACCTGTCCGTTCCTCCTTCCTCTTAATCCATGGCAACCACTACATTTTTTTACTGTCTTTTGCCTTTTTCAGAATGCCATATAATTGGAGCCATATAATGTGCGACCTTTTTAGATTGGCGTCCTTTACTTGATAACATGCATCCAAGATTCTTTCGTGGCTTGATAGCTCATTTCTTTTTAGTGCTAATGATAGTGTCTGCCTGGATATATAACACTTTAGCCGTTGGTCTACGAAGGGACGTCTTGGTTGCCTCTAAATTTCGATGATTATGAATAAAGCTGCTACAAACACTCTTTGGTGGGTTTCTGTGCACACACAAAAGGTATATAATGTACAAAGTGTCATTTTGTATTTTCACCAGCAATAAATACTTTTTCTTCCACCTTGTCATCTTCAACATTTGGAGTCTGCTTGTGGATTTTTTTTGTTGTTGTTGTTTTTGGGTTTTTTTTGTCTTGTTTTTTTTTTTTTTTTTGAGACAGAGTCTCACTATGCAGTTCAGGCTGGCCTTGAGCTCACTTTGTAGCCCAGGCTGGTCTCGAACTCAGAATGATCCTCCTACCTCAGCCTCCTCAGTGCTGGGGTTACAGGTGTGTGCCATCACACCTGGCTGTGCTTGTGTTTTTTAACTTAATAATTTGTCCGTGACACCTTACATTCTTTTTTAATGTCTCTGCAGACCATGGATGTGCTGCAGTTTGGTTAGTCCTCTCTTGATGGCAGTTATTTCCAATGTTTTCCTCCTCCAAATAGAGATGCACTGACCTTTAGTCACTCAACGTTTTGATATATTTGTAGGATAAATTCCTAGAGAGATGGTAGCTAGGTCAAAAGGTTAAAATTCATTCATTTTGCCCTCCTTAGGGGTTTTACCAATTTGCTGTCTTACCAGCAGTCTGTCACAAGGTGTTTCCTAATAGCCTGATTAACCAAAGAAGTAAGTCATCAGTCACTTCGAATTTTTCTAGTCTAATGGGTGAGAAATATTTTGGTAGAAATTGAGCATTTCCATATATTTAAGGTCATTTGCATTTCCTTTTCATCTGTTTACCTACTTGATTTTTGGATCTCTCAAAATGTGTTCCTTATCATATGAGTTGCAAATACTTTTTATCAGTTTATCATTTAATTTTATAAAGTTGTGAATTTGAATCTGGTCCGGTCTGGTTTTGTAATCCATGCTTTTCATCACTGTAGTTGTACTGCCATAGAATAATGTTGTACATTCTTGAAGATTTTTATTTATATGCAGCTTTGATTTAATACATTTAGCATTTGAAAACTCTTCTAATGATAATTTCTTCCCTCAATAGACTCGTCATCAGCGAGGAGATACACATCCTCTAACTTTGGAAGAAATTTTGGATGAAACCCAGCATTTAGATATTGGACTCAAGCAGAAGCAATGGCTAATGACTGAGGTAAGAATAAGCTTATAAACCTCGTAAAAAATTAGCCATGAGATATTTGCTATAATTAGAGTGCTTTTATTTTGTTTATTTTTTTTGTCTCAGGGCTTGAACCTGTGAGATATTTGTTATAACTAAAAGAATTTGGTTTTCATTTTGCTTTGTGTTTTTGCCCAGGGCCTTGTAGATACCACAAGTACTCTACCACTGAGCCATCCCTAACCCCTAGAGTGTTTTTAATGTACTGAAATCTGGTTATGCTTTTTATTGTTTATTAAAAGAACTGATGAAGGGTCTTTAAACATACATTTTTTAAGTTGTTTGGCTTGTTGGTTTTCACATAATTTTATGTATCTGTTTAAAAATCTTAAAAGTTAGGACTTCAGTATAAAAGTGAAAAAGTTGAAGGACCATATCATTTTCATATTTATAAACAGTTGGTTTATTTTGAATACCTGCATTTATAACATATGCCTGTAAATTATATTTAAAATATATATTTTAGGACATGTAAGTAAAACAGGAGGTACTGTAGGGTTATAGACAAGACATTTTATTGAGCTGTTACTACTGTTATGACTTGATAATTATTGCCTCCGAGAGGTTAGAGATAGGATCTTGATGTGTAGTTCAGGCTGGCCTTGAGCTCCATATGTAGCTAGGGGGCTTATGATCCTCCTGCCTTAGTCTCGTGAGTGCTGGGATTATAGACATGTATCACCACATTTGACTGGAAGCACTACTATAAACATTCATGTATTTCCTTCTTTTGGGTTTATATATTTAATGATAGTGGACAAGACTACTTTTTAAGACCAATGATAGATTCTAAAAACCAAATGTAAAATTCCTAAAATATGCTTGTTAATTTTTTTGACCCACCCAAAATATAGTTCTTTTTTTCCAAAATACAGTTATTGTTATAAAATAAACCAATTAATCAATATCATTGAAGCTCATGGCCCCTTCATTGGTATCATTGAAGGTCATGGTCTTTTAGGAACTACTTGGCCATTACCAGAAGCAGAACCACTGTAAGATTGGAACCTCAGAGTGTCTAAACTTTTTTTTTTTTTTTGGTTTTTTCTCTGGTACCGGGAACCGAACTCACGACCTCGCGCTTGCCAGGCAGGCGCTTTTGCCGCTGAGCTAAATCCCCAGCCCCTAGAGTGTCTAAACTTAATCTGCACAGACGTTGTGAATAATAGTAATATATATTAGTGATATACAAATTATGGAAATTCACATTTGAATTTGCTGGTTGTCCTAATATTGGAATTTCATAGACTTACCAACATTAAAGATTATTTTTATTACATTACTATTCTGTTCGCCCTCTCTTCTTTTTGTATCTCTCCTGGCAGGGTCAGGCTTGCAACTGCAGAAAATAAATAAGGTTGCCCTTTCTTACAGAGCTTTCCTCCAGTCATTAGCTATACAACAACTGACTAGGCACATAATTATGTTCAGTAATTCCTGAGTTCCTATACAGGAGTTCTCAAGCTGACACAGTAGTAAAGTTCATATACAAACCAGCCTAGTCTTTTTCAGTTCTTTCTACAGCTGCTAGTGCCAGTTGACTTCGGGTAGTAAGCACTGACTACTGATTTGTTCATCCTAGGGTAGTGTTTCTCATGTTATAATGCCAATATATAGTAAACTATACTGTGGAGATGGAGTGGGCACTACCCAGTTCGCTTGGTCTACTAATATTAATACGTGTGGTATTGATTCCTATGCATTTTGTCATCTTAAGAACTATAGATTCAACTTTCTTTAAGGCAACTGTGATAAAATGGTTTTTTTCCCCCCAAAGAATTTTGTAAATAGTACATAATTTAAAAATATATAAAAAAGCAAGCAACAGGTTAATCTTTCCTATTGTTCTGGGATCCTGTATGCGTACTATTTTAGATCTTCTAATTCATACTCACAAGATTTGTTTAATTTGTCACTGCACTGGGTAGTGTTACATTTTTAAATAATTAGAATTTAGGAATGTATATGTGAAGTTTCCTTTTGTTAATATATACACATTATGTCACTGTTTCAGGCATTAGTCAACAATCCAAAAATTGAAGTGATAGATGGGAAGTATGCATTCAAACCCAAGTACGACTTGAAAGATAAGAGGGCCCTACTTAGGCTATTAGATCAGCATGACCAGCGAGGATTAGGAGGAATTCTTTTAGAAGACATAGAAGAAGGACTGCCCAATTCCCAGAAAGCCGTCAAGGTGATCTCTCTTTTCTGTGTTTTAATGTAATTTGAATTAATAATGTCATCTTGGTTTTAAGCATAGAACATTTTGAAATACTCCATTTTATATACATAGAGCTGCAGTGAGCCACTTGAAGATGTGAAACTTGTGTTGCAGAGCAGGAATGAGGGTAGCTGTCTTTATGTAATTCTGATGGCCTCTTTTGTTGTAGTTATGTGGTTATTTGATTCCTCAGAATATTTCTGGAAACTGTCCCTCAAAGGATTAGTGTTTTTCTTGTAAGCTGTGTTTGTCATCAAGAGTTCCTTTGATGATAGTAGTAGACATTGCTTCCTTGAGGAATTAAAGGTACTGTTACAGTATTGTTTGGACAAAATTTCTCCCAAAAGCTCATGTATGGAAATCTTGGTCCCTAATGCAGCAGTGTTGAGAAGGTGGGGCTTCGGGAAGTGATTGGATTGAGAGTTCTGACGTCATGAATTGATCCATTTGTGGATTCATAGCTTTATGAGTTTTGTGGGAGGGACTTTGTTACAAAAACGAGCTTTCTCTCTGCTTCTTAGCTGCTGTAAAAGAGTGGTTTTTCCTGCCCTATGCTTTGGCCACAGGCCTAAAAGCAGGGCCAAGAGACTGGACAGAAACCACGTCAAATTAGACAAAATAAGTCTTTCTTTTAAGTTGCTTTTTTAAGGTATTTTGTCCCAGTGACAGAAAGCCATTATGAGCATTACCCTTAAGGCATAAGCCTGGGTCCAGCAGGTCAATCCCTTAGTTTTCTACTGTAAATTTGTAGTTTAGCATTATAGTAGCCCGCTGTGCCTCTCCATACCTTTCCCTGAGGGAAAGAGGAAGCAATCTTTGTGTTTACTCACTTGGTGTGACAAACAATAAGGAGTGTACACATGTGCAGAAGTGTCAAAACAGGATTTGGGCCCATCTTTATGCTCTCATTTTGTATGTGTTTACCCAAGCATCACAGAGGGTTCATTAGACCCATACCACTCCAGGATTTGTTTACCAAAAGTTCTGATTTTTCTGGTAGAGGTAACCTAGTTCAGTGTAATAGCACATGAAAAAACAGATTTGCAAGTAGTGGAGGAGGTCAAAAGTGAATCATCAGATTACTCATATATGGGTGATGAAGATGATCCGTTGTTAAAATACGTGCTTTCATAACAAAAGAGTGATGTGGATATATGATGATGACAATGATGACTTTGACATTGGCCAAAGTTTCTGTGACAATAAAATAGAGCAAGAACTGACTGATATAGACAAAGGAAATGCAAACCTTCTTGATTCAGATGGTGAAGAAAACAATGTGAGTATAGATTTGACTATTCAAAATGTTGCAAAATGGTCACGCAGTCAACTCGAACAATCCAATGTTAGAACTAGGTTCAAAAATATAGTGAAGGTCTTGGCAGGGGTGAAATGTATGGGACAAAATGCCAGCACTGCCATTCAGTATTGTAACAGAAGTGTTACAAGATGTTGTGAAATACACAAAGGCTAACATACAAGTAAAACATTCTGTATGCACTAAAAGCCATATTCAAGAATGTATTTGTTATGATGCTTCACTAACTGAACTGAAAGCATTCATAGGTCTGTTGTACTTAGCAGGATTTCTCTGGTAATTGAAGGAACATGAAAGACTTGTAGACGAGTGATGGGTCAAATATGGCATAAAAATTTATACCCTTGTAGATGTGAAGACTTACTATGCTTTCTTTTTTTTTTTTTTTTTGGTTTTTGGTTTTTGGTTTTTCTCCGGTACCGGGAACCGAACTCACGACCTTGCGCTTGCCAGGCATGCGCTTTGCCGCTGAGCTAAATCCCCAGCCCCTACTTACTATGCTTTCAATCGGATATTTATCCTGAAACTCAGCCATCAGGTCCTTATTTGTATAGTAATAAACCAAATGATGTTGTGAACAGACTTGCTGCTTCCATCTCCCAAACTAAGTGGAATATGACATTTGACAGTTGGTTTGCTGGTTTCCAATTGATGCTTCATTTGCTAACAGCACAAGTTGACCAGCGCAGAAACTGTATAGAGGAACAAAGCAGAAATTCCAAATGAAGTGTTGCAATTTCAAACAGAGAATTGTATAGTATAATCTTTGAATTTCAGAAAGTTATAACATAGGCCTTGTATATGGCAAAGAAAGCTGGTACTGCTGATGACAACATTCACCATGAGGGAAATATTGATAGGGAAACCTTGACAAAACAGACGCCTGAGATGGAAACTTTCAACAGCAAAACCAAATGTGGAGTAGACGTTGGTGAGTTGTGCAGCTATGATGTCACTCGAAACACAAAGCATTGGCCAATGGTTACGTTTTACTTGATCCTTAAACATGAGGTATAGTAGTTTGATAGTTTATGAGGAAAATAACAAGTACAAAATATCACAGAAATTTTCTTAGAGGATTGCAACTGAGCTCATAAGAAATCATTTATAGCAGAGGAAAACAAAATGCTTCTGCCTCGGGAACTACATAAAAAATGGTGGAGCACACTGGTGAACTGACAGGTGAACAGGCAAGCGCAGCCTCACAAATACCTACAATGACATTGGATAAACAAAAAAGATGCCAACTGGGTCCTACAGGAAAGTAAAAGAAAACAAAACATACGTACTATCAGTGTAAGTGATACTTGTATATGGAACATGTCAGTTGTCGTTTGTGAAGAGTGCTTTGGGTGTCACAGTTGAAGCAAAGCTTATTTCTGTGGTGGACTTCTGTTTCTGCTTATACTTTATTTCACATAGGTTTTTATTTTTGATGTTATCTTTCAGGTTTTGTAAGCAAATAAACAGCTGATGTGAAAATGTCACTGTCTGTTCTAGGCACTCATTACATATTTGATATTGTATTTTATTGTATTTTATTTCCCTGCTAAGTGCATGTTGTACAGTATAGTAGGAAGCTCCTGACAAAACAGAAGAGGAGATATCAAGGCTGCTGCATAGGAGAGGAAAGCTAAGCCCATTAGTGTTTTTGCCTCTAGTGTTTCTATTCATGCATAGTTCATTGTAGCCAGACATTGGGGTATAATTTATACCTTCTCTGATGTACTTTTTTCTAGAATTTCCCCTTTTCTCGTTCTAGCTGTTGTGGTTACCCCATATTAGGTTTTTCTGGTTTTTGGTCCAGCAGTACTTTAGGAGTTCCTTGAGTTAAGCTGCATAGGCCACTGACTGTGGCTTGCCCTCAATGCTGTTTCTCCTCACTTTTGCTTGCACTTGCTTGCTCTTTAAGTTATTTAGGAAGTTTTTTGTTTTGTTTTGTTTTTGTTTTTGAGACAGGGTCTTGTTATACAGTTCAGGCCGGCCTTGAGCTCACTTTGTAGCCCAGGCTGGTCTCAAACTTGCAAACAATCCTCCTGCTTCAGCCTCCCCAGTGCTGGGATTACAAGCGTGCACCACCACACCTGGCTTTTTAGGAAGTTGATTTTTTAAAACAATGTCCTGTTTAAGGAGTTTATAATGTTTTCTGGGGGAGGGTTCGTCTTTTAGGAGCTGTTTGGTCATGTGAGAAGCAGAATCTTCATAAGATTTGACTGTCAGTAGTGTTGGTATGTTATGCACTTTAGTGTGTTGAATCCTAGCCTAACCATTAAGAATAGTAGATATGTTTACTGCTGTGCTGTTTTCTTCCATTTGATAGGGGCCAGAATTGTTGTTCTACATCGGACTGTTCATTACTTCTAAAGTAGAGCAGTACCATAATCCAATAATTGCTCAGTCCATTTTAAATTTGTGATGTAAAGCCACTTTGACACTGTACTTTTAATGGCTCAGTTCCCTTAGGATTAGAGTTGAAAGGGTCACGGGAAGGACACAGTATGTTCTTACTTTGAGGCAGAAGTTATTTTTAAATTATTTGAAACTGGAATTTTTATGCTTTTTTTTAAAACATGAAGATGTGTTCTATTGTAAGTAATTTTTCAAGCATTTCTTTGACATAATAAAATTAATTCTCTTCCATGTTGCTTCCTCTTCAGTTCTTTTTGGAGATGGAAGGTATTGAAGAAATGTGCAATATATTGCTAGCAAGAAGCACAAACAGTTATGCAAAAGCAATAAAACAAAGAAAATCAGTGACCATTTCAGATTACTCATCCTTCAGTTATATTTGGTGATTTTTCTAACAAATTAACTGCCAGCGTAGCCTTATTAGGTCAGCTTGAATTTGTGATGTGATATGTTAATTTTTTTTAGTTTATTATTTTATGAAAAAATGAAACATTTTCATAATCAAGTAATAATAATATTAGATTGTGTATCATATCTTCAAATTAGCTTACTTAGCACAAGATATAAGTTGAAAAGAGTCTTACAAAGAAGAAACAAACTTTCTTTTCAGCAAAGATAAACTATTAGTATAAATGAAACAAATTAGCATATATATTGCAGTATTTTTAAAACAATGGACCGTGTAATTTGGGGAAGTTTTTGAACTCTTCGCTCTTCCCTATTAATGTCTTCTCTCTCTCTCTCTCTCTCTCTCTTTTTTTTTTTTGGTCTTTTTGAGACAGGGTCTCCCTATGCAGTTAAAGCTGGCCTTGAACTCATTTTGTAGCCTAGACTGGCCTTGAACTCAGGGATTCTACTGCCTTACCTTCTTGAGCGCTGTCTTTTGTATTTTGTGCTGTGTGTGTGTGTGTATGTATATTTTTTATATTGTGATATTTGAGTTTGTCTGACTTACTTCACTTAACATTGTATTCTCCAGTTGTATCCATTTACTTACAAATACCTCAAGTTTTTCTTTGTGGCAGCAGTAGTACTCCATTGTATAGGAATACCACATTTTCCTTGTTCATTCATCTCTTGATGGACAGGTATGCTGTTTGCAAGATCTTACCTTTAAAAAATGTACTTTTTGTAAACATGGGTGTGCATGTAATACAGTGACTATAACTTTTTTGGCAAGATACCTAGGAGGGGGATAGCTGGATCAAATGAAATTTCTTCTTTTAGTTATTTGAGGAATCTCCAC